GGGAGGGGGGCACACACATGTGAGTCGAGTGTTGCTGTGGACGTACACTCTGAGTAGAGAAACTGTCGTCTGTTACTTACTTGCAAGTGATTTTCTTTGTTTGACTCTCGAGAATCCCCTTTATTACAGGACATCTATCAACAAGAGAAAAAGGGAAGAACTATCCATGAATACATGCCGCCAAGCCGCCCGTCAACATCAAAGCTGTGCCTGCGGTGCAGACAGTACAGTATGAGCTCAAACACACACCGAGTCTTTTGGATGCCACAGTGCAGAACTGTTCAGGCAGCGGCCCTCAGACTGAAGGCAGGAGGATATCTGCACTTTTACTGAGAGTTGCAGGTTTCTGCTCATCAGCATCACATAACTTTATTGCTCAGAAACAGTCTCCAGTGCAGTTACGCTCGGTTTAATCATTAGTAGCTGTGCACTCAGACAAAGGCACTCGTCCCCTAATCATATTAGCTTTTTGATTAGACATCATTAATTCCTCCTGCGGCACGGCGGAGACGACCGCAGTTACCTCGGTTAAAGGACTCTGTGATGCGGTGCTCTCGTACATCCCTGGCAATAAAAGCTAACTGCTTACGTGCTCATTAGCAAGTACACAGAGTTAATGCTTAATGCAGGTCTCCTGCTAATGCACTCTCAGCTGCAAATGCCAAATTTAGTGGCTGAATCTCAGTTGTTGTGTTCTGATGCCAGCAGGCGATTAGAATATGCTGTGCAAACATCTCGCTGGCCTTGAACTCTTACCACGCCGATGTGGCGAGTGCCAGCAGCTAAGCGCTATCGTAAGAGTGGATCTGCTGATGAGTCTGACATCATGAACTCTGGACTCAGCGGCCACGTCATGCAAAGAGATTATTTTTTCCAAAAAAAGCACCTGATGGGCAGCAGAAATCTGATCTATCTGATCTGAGCCGTGGACGTGCCATCATCAGGTCCGCCGTTTGTCCACTAGCTTGAAAATGAAGCTGACTTCTTAATGATTAAGAATCACAAGACAGGGATTTAGAGCAGGAAAAGGACAGGCAGGAGGACTTTGTTCTCCTTCCTAGCGGCTGAGCTACATGAGTGTGTGTTACATCTTTGTATTAGGCTGAGACTTCATAGATCTCATACTGTACCGTGTTTTTGGGTGGGTTCACCTGGGAACAAGAGCGCCCAAGGCACGCTCCTTTGGGAAGCCTACGGCAAAGAACACATGCATGTACAGCCATGGGGGTACATCACCATGTACAACAATGGCTAACACGCACACAAACACACATACATGAAGGCATAACTGCATGCATACACTAATATAAGCATGTGACACACATTCACACATAACGGCACTTTCACTCGTCTATTTTGTTGTTTATCTGTAACACTTTTACATGTCTGCTCTTATTTGCGTGTGTGAGTAAAAAGCAGTAACTGCAGACTAAAAACTACAGAGGGGGAACTACTTCCTTACGTCCTCGTGGCGACTCTGGGTTACTTTTTGCACAGTAAAACACTGACATGTGATGTGGCTCCCACCTGCAGGATGGCCCCATAGAGGCGCAGCAGGACGCTCCTCGGCTCGTCCCCAACACAGTTCAGGCTGTCGGGGAGGCTGCACAGAAAGAGCTTGTTGCTCAGACCACCCCTGGAACACAGACAGACAGCGAATATGATATTGATATTTGCGTGCGTGAAGAAAAACACCAAAACTAGCAGCTCTGTAGAGGTTTAAC